ATTGGTTTTTGAATTCATTAGAAATATCAAGTTTTTAGATTTTTTTCTTTGTTAAACATTTTTTTGCATAATGAGTAACTTTGTCACATTTCCAGCAAGTTGTTTTTTTCAGAAGTGCTTGGCTTGGCTTTAGAAGAATTAAAGGATTTAAAATTATTGAACTTTCACTTTTTATAATAAGGTTTCTTTTTAAAATTTTGAAATTTTTGATAAGAATAATTTTTACTTGAATATTTTTGAGATTGCCAATAGGGGCCTTTCTAGTAGAAGATCCTGTAAAATGACGTAAGATGGAGTTATAAGATCAGGTAAGATGATATTATAACCAAATTGATAACAAAATTGTCCTAATTCGGCGTGGCCAGTTTTGCATTCTTTCTTTACTTGATTTTTGAGCTTGATATTGTTTCATAAAAATAGGCCTTCAGCACAATTTCAGATATTAATTCACTAAAAATATATTGATCGTAAGGAATTTGACCATTGTGTTTGGGTCGAATTCAAGTTTTGACTTTTTAACAAATAGAAAAAGAACAGTATGTTGAACTTCTAATTAAAAAAATAAAAATCAAAGGAAAGCATATAATGATTTTGAAGATTTTTAGAAAAATGACGCGGGACAACCAGCGTGAAAGTATATGAATGTTGCTATTAGTCCCTCATCAATTATTTTAAATTTTTAATTTTTTAGTTTTTTTTATTACAATAATAATCTCAAATGAAATTATTAAAAAGAACATCAAAAAATTTCAAATACTCCATCCCACAATTAAGTTTACATACCCATTACATCATGTGTTGAGATTTATGAGACCATCCACCTCCATCACCACTCATTTATCTTTTCAAAATTTCACCTTCAAAACCTATCTACCCTTAAAACATTGAAAACCATTTGGTGGCAATATTCCGGTGGCAACTGTAGTAATCATTTGATTACATATATTTCTCTGGTAATGACAATAAGCGAAAGTTTTTTGGTAACCACAACTCCATGAGATGAGAGGAATACAACAATAAATCACATAAAAGGTTCATAAATTTGATGATGTTTTTAACTTAGAGGAGATTGGCCTTGTAAGGGTAAGTTTCTTTTAAAAAAAGAAAAAAAATAATAAAAATTGTTCGTCATTTTTTAAAGACTGAATTTCCGAATATATGACCGTAATTCAGGAACACAGGTCAGAACATTGTTTATTTGTTCAGGAACAGGTAAACGAACATTTTTTATTTGTTCGAGAACTAATAACCGAAATAGAAGCAGCAGTAGAAAGCAGGCAAACAAATGAGATCGGACCATCCTTAGGTAGTCAACCGGCTGGTTGACCGAGGGGGTGAATTCCCGTCCAATTTTGCTCAAACAGAGAGTATACAAGTACAATGAGGCTATGGATGAATCATAGAAAATCAAATATAAAAGTATGAAAGTGGATTGTGGTGCCGTTTGATAACATTTACGTTTTCAGTTTTTTGTTTATCTTTACAAAAAAATTTAAAACTCAAATAAAAACTTGTTTGGTAAAATTTTTGATTTATAAATCAGTGGTCTCAGTTTATAAATTTGGCCAAAAAATGAAAACACAAAAAAATGTGTTTTCCGTTTTGAATTTTGAGTTTTTTTTTTTTTTGAATCACTTTTGTTTTGGATTCAATAATCTCACTCAACTATGTCGGAAAAATAAAATTAAAAAAAAAAAGGTTAGATATGCTTGCTTTAATCCAAAATATAGCACTAATTTTAACCAATTAAGTTAATTGGATCTAGCAAATTTTAGATTATTTAAGAGTGCAGCTATTAACACTTCATCAATTATTTTAGAATCCCTATTTTTTTAGTTGTTTTTTTTTTTTATTACATTAGTAATCTCAAGTGAAATTACTAAGAAAGACATTAATAATTTTGGGGCACCCATTTCACAATTAAGCCCATATACTCATTACATCATGAGTAGGGTTTATGAGACCACCCACCTCCATTACCACCTATCCATCTTTCCCAAATCCCATCTTCAAAACTTACCCACCCTCAAACCTTGAAAACTTTTTAGCGACAATATTCCGGCAGCAACGGTGACAATCATTTGATTACATACACTTTTTCAGCAATGACAATAGGTGGAAGTTTTTATAGCAACCATAACTCTATAAGACGAGAAGAGAACAACAATAAAAGCTTAGAAGAGGTCCATAACTTTGATGGTGTTCTTCGCTTAGAGGAAATTGGCATTATAAAAGTAAGTTTCTTGGAAAAAAAAATAGCAAAAATGATAAAGATTGTTCGTCATATTTTCTGGACTGAACTCCCGAACATATGACTGAAATTCAGAAAAACAGGCCCGAACATTGTTTATTTGTTTAGGAATAGGTAATTGAACATTTCTTATTTGTTCAAGAACAGATAATCGAAGCAGTAGTAGAAGCAAGCAAACAAAGGAGGTTGGATCACCCTTAGGCGGTCGACTGGGGGGGTGAAATTATGCCCAATTTTGCTCACACAGAGATTATATAAGTACAATGAGACTATAGATGAATGATAAAAAATCAACTAGAGAGGCATGAATGTGGATTGTGTTGTGTGTGTGAAAAAAGGTAATAGAAATAAAATCCAAACAGACCGACAAATCTCGTAATGAAGTAAACTTCTTAATCACATAAATTTTTTTCACTGGTTTTGAGAGGTTCCATCGTTGTGAGTTTTGTTACGGTTTTGGGAGAGAGACTTTTTAGGGTGTGGGGGTGTGCATTTGAATGTGTGGAATGCTTGATATTATTTGGGAGAAAAAAAAATTTAAGGACCTGTTTGGTAATCATTTCGTTTTCAGTTTAAATTTACAAAAATTTTAAAAACTGTCATAAAAACTTATTTGATAATTTTTTCGATTTATAAATAGTTGTCTTAGTTTATAAATTTGAGGAAAAAAAAACGTAAACTCAAAAAATGAGTTTACGTTGGTTTTTAAACAGGAATTTAAAAATTTGAGGGTAAATTATACAAATAGTCTCTGATGTGTTAATTTGGTCCTTATAGTTTTAATTTATACGATTTTATCATTTAATTTAATGGATTGTGTCATTTTAGTCTGATAAATAACGGTTGTTAAGTTAATTTAACGGAAAGTCAGACAATATGTCAATTTGGTCCATGTACTTTACATGATGTGTCAATTTGGTCCCTGTAGTTTCAATTCTCAATTTTGACAATGACTAAATTGACACATTGTGAAAAATACAGGGACTAAATTAACACATTGTTTGACTTTCCGTTAAATTAATTTAACAACTGTTATTTATTAGATTAAAATGACACAATCCGTTATATTAAGAGGCAAAATCGAGCAAATTGAAACTACAGGGACCAAATTGACACATTATGTAAACTACAGGAACTGTTTGCATAATTTTCCCAAAATTTGATTAATAATTTTTTTTTCAATTATTTTTTTTTTAAAATAATTTTTTTTCAATTATAATGTGTATGACCCTATTGTCATAAATAATAAAAAAATAAATATAAATATTTTAGGTCTGAATAAACATATTTTTTAGTTCATATTTTCGAAAATTTTTAAATATTTTATTCAAACCAAATGCGTTTGTAAGTTATTTTTTTTAAAAAAATAAAGAAAAATCAATTTATAATTTTTTTAAATATAAATAAAAAATATAAATATTACCAAATGTTACCTAAAAGTTTTAGAATTTATAACTAGAAGTTTAAAAAAATAAAAGGTGCAAAATAATTTCTGCAGTACTAGTAGTCCTCAATTATATATTCCAAGAATGACGCTCTTGTTGCTTAGACATTTCAACACGACATCGTGAGCCCAAACTCTTTTTAGCTACAATGGTGCATGATACACAAGGGTTGTTTGAAAAGGAGAATTGAGTTAAAATAGCTCATAAAATATATTTAAATAGTTTAATGAAATAAAATATTATATTTAATTTATAATTATTTTACTTTTTATCTTACAATTATTAAATCACCAACAAAAGAAAGTTAACTAACTTTTCAAATATAATTTTTTAATCAAGCTAAAATAATTAAAAAAATCAAATAATTAATTAAAATTGTCAACTTCCCAAAACCATAACATAATATCTAATCTTAAAATGCCATCTATAGTCATTTAAACTGGGGGTGGTAAATGAAAACAGTTTGAACTGGATTAGTTAAGAATTTGTTTAAATTTAATTCGTTAAGTACATTTTAAAATTCATTAAAATTTTTAAATCAAACTTGAGCCGTCAATTATTTGTTCAGTTCAATTTGATAAGTTTAAAATTATATAAAAATCTTAGACTAGTCAAATTTAACTCAACAAAAATTCATTTACAAACCATTCAAAAATTTAACAAATTATATTTAAATCTCCTTTAAAACTCATCAAAATTTTTAAATAATGTTATAGACTGGTTTATCACTCTTAATTTAAACTACAATATCCATCTATTAACAACAATGTTTGTAAAGGATAGAGATACGTTGTCCGTTGTCGTTTCAAAATAATAACTTTTTTAGGAAATTTATTTATTTTTTATAGTATAATTATTGTCTTTAAAAATACTAATTTTCTAAAATTACCTTTAATGGTATGTTGTTTTGGAAATCTCAATTATCAAAATTATACTTTTTATGTTATTAATAAATTTAAAAGATAGATAAAATAGTAAATTTATATTATTTTATTCCTTAATTTTTAAAGAGGGATTACTATTGTGAAATAATGAAAAATAAAATAAAGAGTTAATATTTTAATTACTTATTTGATTTTTTAATTATTTTACTTTAATTAAAATAGTTATTTTTGAGAGGTTAATTGACATTTTTTAATTGATTTGATAATTATAAAAAAAATAAAATAATTAAAAATTAAAAATAATATTTTATCTTATTAATTTTTTTAATTTATTTTATTTTTTAATAGAATATGGTAACCAATCCTCAACCTGACGATATATACAATTAGTACTGTAAATCTGTATGCGTCGTTTTCTCGAGAAAATCCTTGTCACGACGTAACCTCTGTACTCTCTCTCTCTCCCTCTCCCTCTCCCTCTCTCACACACTCATCTCCAGACGAGTAATCGTTGAGAGCTCTCTCTCTCTCCTCAGCTCTCTCTCTCTCTGACCTCACTCGAGGCTCTCTAAATGGCCACTGAATCCTACCGACAACGATGAAGATCACCGGCAAGACTGACCTCCATGCGATTATCTCTTCCAAAGGTCTAAACCCTACTACTCCAGATTCAGATCTTTTGCAAAAATCCAAGTCTCATAGACCACCTCGCCGGAAAGCGAGGAGTCCCGGGTTTTCCGGTACCGGAGTTAGGTTTTCGGCCGTGAAGCGGAGTAGCAGACCGGAAACCCCTCTCGTTCACTGGAAGTTCGATGACGGAGGAGACAAAGTTAAAGAAGAGAGGTCGTCGGCAGCGCCAGAGTTCGGTCTGAAAAGTCGCCGGAAGGTTAAAGAGGCGGTTTCGGCGAGGACGCTCGCGGCGGTGCTGTGGCGGTTACAGTTGCCGGAGAGTGGTGACAGAGGCGGCGAGAGGTGTGATTTGGGGAAGAATGATCGGTTAGGGTTTCAGGTACATTTGGATTTAAGATCTGTGATGTTTTGTTTTGAACACGAATTAAATGTGTGATTATTCTGAAACAATGATTGATTGTTGTCAATTGTAAACTAATTTAGTTTGTTTCTATTGATTCTTCAAGATGCTTTCTTGTACAGTTTTTGCATGGTAAGTATGATTGGTGAGAAAAATTGATACTCATGGAACAATGAACATGCGTAGAATAGAAGCATAAATCAGGAAGGAGTGATATGATAGTAAAACCTAAATTGACCAGGGATGTGATAATAAAAATTATATGAATTTATTTAATCTAATCAAGAGTATAGCGCTTGACAGAGCAAATAACGACAAAAATTGACATAAGATATGATAGTTAAAATGATAACTTCAATTCTAGTGCCTACATTTAGGTCATCCCTAAATCTATTGTGAAAAGATGCTTTTAGACCTTTTAACATCTTTATTTACAGCATCTCCACTCCTCCCACTTTTCTTTTATCAAATTTAAATTTGATAAAAAATTGCTCAATAATATCTCCGGCATAGTTGTGTCAAATTGGAATTTGAATAGTGAATCGAAATCAAGGAAGCACGGATACAGATATGGGATACGGATACGATACGATACGGTGATACCACAAAATTTGAAAAACTAAGATACGAGTACGGCGAGGATACGTTCGTAAAAAATATTATTTTAACAATTTTTAGTAATACAGTATGCATAAAAATAAAACTTAAAGCAAAAGACAACTTGATAAAGAAGAAAGATTCCTACAAAACTAAGAGTCTTCAAGGTCAATAGCTTCAACTTGTTCCCCTTCATCAGTGAATATCACAAGACCTTAGCTAAGGCCAAAGCCAAAAAACCATTCTTAAATAAAAATTTCAGCAAATATACTTTTTTAAGTCATCAATGATAGCCTAGGAAGCACGGATACGAATATGGTGATATGGGGATGTGGATATGGCGATATGTCAAAATTTGAAAAAGTACGATACGGGTACAGCGGGGATACATTCATAATTTTTATTTTATTTTATGATTTTAATAATGTAATATGCATGAAAATAAAACTTAAAGTAAATTAATAAATAAAGAGAGGGATTCCTATTAACCTAAAAGTGCTCAATATTTATATTATATTAAATTCAATTATATTAAATTAAATTCAATAATTATATTATATTAAATTCAAAATTTATGTTAAATTATATTATACAAATGCAAATGCAAATGCAAATGCAAATTAAACATCATCCTTACATGCCAACACCAAAAAAAGAATGGGAGCAGAGAGAAGAAACGTGAGAGAGTGAGAAAGCGAGAGAGAAGTGAGAGAGACAACAAGGATACATCAATTTGACAAATTATATTACTTAAGCTCTCACTATATTCCTCTTATGAAAGAACTAAACAAAATATTGTAAGTAATATGTAACTTCGAGTATCCGATACTTCAAAATTAAGTATCCGATACTTCAAAATTAATAAAAAATTAATTAAGAAGTATCCGATACGTATCCGTGAGTATCCGAGGAGTATCGGTATCCGATAAGTATCCGATACGGATACGTCACCCTTTTTGAAGTATCCTTCATAGATCGAAATGATTTCATACCGAGTTGTGAATTGAATTGAATTGAATCATAAATGGTAAAGATTCGGTCACATTTTATAAATTACTTAGAAAAATATATCTGCATATTTGAATATTAAATATATTTTATGAATATGAAATATTAATATTTAGACTTAGATAAATGAAAATATTATGTTGAATGATGATCACATAGTTTAATAGGTAATAAGTTAACAAAGGTTCCTATATGAGATCACTATCTTACCTTTTCTTTTTTTTAGATATTTCTTATCAATCATTTTTAATAAAAGATAATAAATAATGACAAACTCTCAATTTTTAAAGTAACAATAATTTGACAACGATATTGATATTTGAACAATAAGCATACATACTTTTCAAGTAACAATGACCAAATAATAAGAAATAATTATTTAGGATTTTTATTTTAAATCATAAAACATTTTAGAAGGTATAACTGACTTTACTCATGTAATATTAAACTATAATTTAATCAAATAGCAATAGATAATTCATGGTGTAAGTTATTTTAATGTTAAACATTTTTAGAAGATATATTATGATTGTTTAAAATGAAAAAAATAAGAAGAAAGCTTAAAACCTATAAAGCACGGATATTCCGAAATGGTCCCCGTACGCGTATCGGATACATATCGGATACGGATACGCGCCTGATACGGCGGGATACGTATCAGATACGAGAAATAAAGTATCCAATTTTTTTTTTTTTAATTTTTTAATTTCGGATACGTCTAGGATACGCGAGGATACGGTCGGGATACGGCAGGGCAAAAAAATAAATTAAAAAACTTAAAATGGGGTCAAAGTATAAAATATGAAAATAAGATAAAATAAAACACACACAAAAAAAAAATAATCAACCAAACTTACCTAGACCTAGGTCGAACAGCAACCGCGAAGGAGGAGGAGGAGGAGGAGTTCGTCGTCGTCTCTCGTCTCGAACAGCAGCTTGACGGTCGTCGATCAGGTTCGCGAACAGGAGCTCCGCGGTCGTTGATCAAGTTCGTCCCTCTCTCTCTCCCTTTCGCTCCCTCTCTGTCTGCCTCTCGCTCGATCTCACGAGCTCTCTCTCTCTCCCTCTCCCTCCCGCTCGATCTGTTTGGTCTGGGTGGAGATGGACAGATCTCGATCTCATCTCCCCCCCCTCTTGGTCGATCTCTCTCTCCCTCTCCTTTTTATCTATGTCGTCTGTGTTGCATATTTATTTTTATTATTTTATTATTTTTTGTATGTATACTCTGTAAATAAAATAAAATAAATCAAATAAGATAGATAAAAAAAAAAACTTTGTATATGTATTCGGTATTACCTGAATCCTGATAAAACAAAATAAATCAAATAAGGTAAAAAAATTTATTAATAAATAAATAAATAAACTTATTAAAAATAAAGTTGTCTTTTGCTTCATAGGAATCTTTCTTTTTTTATCAAGTTGTCTTTTGATTTAATTTTTATTTTTATGTATGTTACATTACTAAAAATTGTTGAAGTTTTATTTTATGTATGTTACATTACTAAAAATTGTTGAAGTTTTATTTTTATGCATGCTACATTACTAAAAATTGTAAAAAAAATATTTTTTATGAACGTATCCCCGCCGTATCCGTATCCTACTTTTTCAAATTTTGTCGTATCGCCGTATCCGTATCCTACTTTTTCAAATTTTGTCGTATCGCCGTATCCGTATCGTATCGTACCCGTATCCCATATCCATATCCGTGCCTCCTAACTTAAAACCATATTGAGTCTAATTAAATTTGATTGGATCTTATTAAAAACTCAATAATCACTAAAATAACAACGAATTATGTATATATATTGATTATTTTGGTATTAAACGCTATTAGAAGCTGCATTATGCTATTTTTACTAAAAGGAGAAAAAAGCGTTGAAAATATGTCGGATATGATAGTTTCAAAAATTGCATGAATCGTAAAAAGTGAATCGATTGTGAATCATGTAATTTATTAGAGATTCATTTTCAAAATAGATTCACTTATAGATTCGTATTGATTTTGCAAAAAATGTGAATCGAATTGCGAATCGTAAGATTCTGATAACAGAGATCTCCAATCCTTTAATCAAATGTTCATCAAGTCAAAAGAGTTTTTTTTTTTTAATCAAATTGAGAATTCATCAAATTTGAATTTGATGAAAATTTATAAAGATGAAATATTGGAGATGATTTTTTATTCCATTAGATCTGATGGACAGAAAACTTTAGGATTAGAGAGAAATTTTTAAAAAGATTTTGATGAAAATTTGATAAAAAGATTGTAGTAATTAATATCAAAATAAGCTTTTTACTCGTTTAGATCAAATTAAGCTTTTTACTCAAATTTGGAATCAAATTAAATGAAAAAAATGGTGAAGAGTTGGAGATGCTCTTAGGAGTAATTATGATCCGGCTGATCACTGTTCAAGGATGCATTTCCTGTTTTTCGTTCTTTTGAACTGTCTACATGAAAATGTATGAACTCTTGCATCTTTTTCTTGTTAAAATTCCATATTTTCCTTTGACTTTTTTGCCATATCTGTAATAATGCCTTCCAAAATTTATGGTTTTCTCATTAAGATTTTGGTGTCTGTAGTTCTCGTACTCTTGATCAGGTAGGATTGGTTTTTAGGCCAATGTGGTCAGTTTTGATAAATTGTGAACCTGCTTATTGGTTTTTCTTCCCTGCAGTTTGGAGCTGGTCATATTGGTGTGCCAGATGTTGGTCATCACAATGGCAGCAGGGCATATGGTTCTGGAGGAAAGGATCTGATGCAAAGTCCTCATTCGGTCTCCGGTCTAAGAAATGGGTATTCGTGTAAGGTGCATTTCTTAGTCAAGACCCTTAATATTAAGATTAGCTATTCTTGACAAGGTGGATTGTGAACTGCTGTTTTTGGTTGTGTTTTTTATTTTTTATTTATGGGAAACACAAAAAAGTTGTGTAGTTTTTTATTTTCATTTTTGTGTTTGCACAACCAAACAAAGTGAGTTTGTTGAACTACTATAATTTGATGGCAGAATTTTGTCCATCCCAATTAGTTAATTAGATCATTTTGTTCATTAGATGATATTGTATAATTTCCCAACTGTTTGGTCTGTCAAATTATCGTAACATCTGACCATTGGGATTAAAAAGGGGAAATTTTGAAAAGAAAATGGTTATATGAAATGAAATGGTCCGTTGATGTTCGAATTGGTAGTTGCAACCATAACCAAGTCAGAGATCAATTTTCTTCTCTAATTTGGTTTCACTATCAAACTTATTGATGGGGCTTCTGTCTTATTTTGTATATTTTCATCTTGTTTTTGTTTCTCTACTCATTTGATCCTACCATGTTTGTGTTTTACAGTCTGAGCCTTCATTTCTATTTTCCAACTCTGCTATGGAAGGGGCGACAAAATGGGATCCTGTCAGCTCGAAAACATTGGATGAGGTGCAACGGATTTATGGCCCCTCAAAGCCTCTTCAACAAGAAGCAAGTACTAAATCAGCAGTATCTGCACTCAAGGTAGAACTTGAGCAAGCTCAGGCTCGTATCGATGAGCTCGAGACAGAGAGACGGTCCTCAAAAAAGAAACTCAAGCATTTCCTAAAGAAACTCAGCGAGGAAAGGGCCACATGGCGGAGCAGAGAACATGAGAAAATCCGTGCAATTATTGATGATATCAAAGCTGACTTGAACCGGGAGAGGAAAAATCGCCATAGGTTGGAAATTGTGAATTCAAAGTTGGTCAATGAGTTGGCTGATGCCAAGTTATCGGCGAAGCGCTATTTGCAGGACTATGAAAAAGAGCATAAGGCTAGAGAGTTAATAGAGGAAGTATGCGATGAACTTGCTAAGGAAATCGGAGAAGACAAGGCTGAAGTCGAAGCATTGAAGAGGGAATCGATGAAACTCTGTGAGGAAGTTGAAGAGGAGAGAAAGATGTTGCAGATGGCGGAGGTGTGGCGTGAAGAACGGGTTCAGATGAAGTTGGTTGATGCGAAAGTGATGCTTGAAGAGAAGTATTCTCAGATGAATGAGCTTGTAGCGGTTCTAGAGACTTTTCTAAGTTCAAGAAGCGCAATCCCAGATGCGGAGGAGAGGAGAAAAGCAGAGTTCCTTCGACAGACTGCTGGCTCAGTGAACATTCAAGAAATCAAAGAATTTACATACGAGCCTCCAAACCCAGATGATATTTTCTCAGTTTTTGAAGATGTAAATTTCAATGAAGCTGCCAATGAAAGAGAGATTGAACAATGTGTTGGATTCAGTCCTGCCAGCCATGCCTCTAAGGTTCACACCGTGAGTCCCGAAGTTAACATTTGCAATAAAGATATTATGCATAGGCATTCTAATGCGTATCTTGATCAGAATGGCGATATAGAAGAAGATGGGAGTGGGTGGGAAACCGTGAGCCATCTTGAGGATCAGGGCTCGAGTTATTCACCCGAGGGGAGTGACCCATCAGTTAACAAGATTTGTCGTAACAGTAATGTGTCAGCGAGTGGAACGGAATGGGAAGAAAATGTATGTGAGGAGACACGAATAACGGAAATTAGTGAAGTCAGTGCAGTACCAAAGACACATTTGAAGAAGGTATCATCCATTTCCCGGCTTTGGAGATCATACCCAAATAATGGCGAAAACTTCAAGATAATCTCAATGGTGGAAGGGATGAATGGAAGGCTTTCCAATGGAAGGATTTCTAATGGAGCAAGCAATTCTCCGGATAGGGGATCGGCTAATGGAAAGCCTGGCTCCCCGGATTTGGCAGGGCAATGGAGCTCACCAGAGTCGGGGAATCCACACATAAATCGAGCAATGAAAGGGTGCATTGAATGGCCACGCGGTATGCAAAAGGGTAGTTTGAAAGCAAAGCTTTTGGAAGCGAGGATGGAAAGTCAAAAGATCCAATTACGCCAAGTTCTCAAGCAGAAGATTTAGATTTATCAAGTTTTGGATGAACAAAGCCGCCTCATGAAATTTCCAAATGAATCAGCTGGAAATGTGGTGTTTTGCCCATGCCATTCTCAAATTCTACAAGGGTTTCCATTTTCACTGCTGCTTGGCAACGATGATCTTTGATGGAACAGGTGGGTTGTACTCTCTGTTGTGAGATGGTTGTACCATGGCTTTTTGCTTTTTTAGGGTAGAGCATCCTATTTACAAGTGAACTCATAAAGCAACCTGTGCTCTGCTTGTATTGTCCTATTTACCAAATGTGGCACAATTAAGGAAAACAAATTTATGGTAGAGGCTGAAATGATAATATATTCTTATCTTTGTATTTTGTAATTTTTTGTGGAATATGTCTCTTTAATTTGAGCAATGATAAAAATAAAAAATAAATAAATTATTGTAGATAATGGAAGATGACGGAATTTTTTTTCTTTTGTTTTTTTGGTTAAGCAGAGATTAATTGGTCACGGGCATGAAGCCACACACACGTTATTTCTATTAACCCATTAAAAATTTTATAAAAAAAATTATTACAATTTTATACTTAAGCACAATTACTAGTAAATTAAAAAACATGGGAACATAAAAAAAATAAAAAATAAATTAAAAAAAGGAACTTTATCAACTTGTTCTGACCTAAGAGAATAAGCTCATAAGTTGCATCTTATTTCAACAACGAGAAACTCCAAGATTACTAAATAATTTTAGTAATAAAGATCAGAAACAATTAAATCAAACTCAAATACTACTTTGAAATCCTCCAAACATGATTCATAACAAAGGGATACCTTTTCTTTTTTGCATTATGGCACAATACAACAACAAAACATAATACAACAATCCTTGGCCAAATAAATTAGACAAGCTTATTGATCCCACTTCGACTATCCAATGAGAGAACTTATTGACTAACCATACCAATCAACATACTAGTCTGAACAAGCTCATTGAAAGAGAAATTGTTTAATTTCTGTTTTCTATATCCTCCTGATTTCTATCATCTAAATTCTTGAAAGTTGACATGTCCTGTTGCTTGTGCATGCTTCATAGCCCCCTGAACTTGAAATGAAAATTGAGAGTGAAGGACTTTGAGCTAAGTTGGGAACAATGCCGACAACTACGAGAACAATAATGTTAATAGCAGTGTTGAGAGCAAACCTTTTGGCCAACAACTCCAATCTGGCAGACCTCGCATCGCAAAGTGAAGTTGGCAGTGTCGGTGTAACTCCTTTTCCTAAAAGCAGCAGAATAAAATCAATACATGATTCTAATACAAGCAGGTTATTAAATAGACAATAACCACATTTAGAAGCAGAAAAAAAGTGTCACCAAGATTAGAAAATTAATGTAACAAACACGAATAGGCCATCCAATATCATAGCCACAAGAAAATCCAACCAATGTTTACCCGACCCCACATTGTGTTAAAATAAAAATAGATGCAAGTATTTTGAAATATGATCATTGGTTGAGAAAACAAGAAAAAATTTCGATTCTATTCTCCAATTGTGCATTCCTTTTTCCAACTTCACGGGGATACCATCCCTTCCACAGAGTAGGACTTAAATCCCTTTCCTCAGTAATGGGGAAATTGCCATGAGACACTAAGTTGATAGAGCTTTGACGACTTAAACATCAAAAAATGGGATGGATAAACTAGAGATTAGCGATGCCCCTGTTATTTGACCAACCAAAAAAAAAGTCACGGCAGAGAATTGAGCAAGTGTTTCTAGTATGTTGTCAATTTGTAATCACTAACTAGCAATAGGAAATTAAGGAGAACCTGGTTCTTAACAATGTGTGGTGGATATGGGGCAAGCTCAACTAAATTGTGAACAAATTGGAATTCCACCAAATATCATGAAAAGCTTACTATAGTTCAAGTTGAGCACAGCTCCAACACAATTTTTTTTTTATATATTTGGGGTACATTGAAGGCCGTAACCTGGGGGAGGGGGAGCCTTGCCACTGGCAAGACCTGAACCCTTGACCCCCTAATGAGGTGCAGGGGGCCTGACCGACTAAACTAGTCCCAGTAGGTTGAGCTCAAGTACAACTTACCGTAATCAATACAGGGTCAAGAAATTCCATAACCAGGTCAACTTAGCTGTTATGCCCGACAGTGAATGGTTTTAAACACATAATGCCACAAGTATAATTAGACAGCAAAGATATGTTATAAATATCAGCAATACTAAACGTCCGTAACATGTCATGTAATGGACACATGGCATGCAATCTAGAGGATCAAGAATGAATGATTAATAGGTCTTCAACAGACAAATATTAGATTGACTAGATTCCAATCAAAAGAAGAACAAATGATAATAGTGAACCACCTAACTTTTTCGGTTTAAGGAAAATTTCAAAGTAAATCAATGTATACTATATAACAGTGTATGTAAATTTAAAACAAAAGAAAAGAAAGTTGTTTAGGCATTAATGAGGCAACATTTAATACCTTTGTTGTTCCTTAGCAAGATTGAGAGCAAGCCTTTCAATGGGTCCAATAGTCCTATCCTTCTGTACAGTAAATATTGTCTGATCAAACTCTTCTGGAGCTCCATTATAGAAAGATATCTGTAATCCAAGACATGAAATCAAGCACCCCATGAGGTAAAATACATAAAACAACATATCTAAGACTGGGGACTGAAAGTTAGAAGTGATTCAAGATTATAGAAGCATGGCAGGTGAAACAAGTAGAAATTTGTACGATCAGATTGTACTGCAAATACCATTTTTTGGCCACCCTTATCATCTGAACCCCAATATAAAACAAAACTTCCACTTAATAAATAATGTACTTTGCTCACAATTGCTTTTTACAATGTGAAAATGAATTTGATAGATGGCTATTGGATTGTTATGAGTCAGACATTAGCAACATAAAAAGTTAAAAAGCATCAGAGGCAGACATCTAATAAATCCTCCTCATACAGGGAAAACACTGCAAGACTAAGGCACCATACAGTTGTCAAGAATCTTGTGTGAGAAAGTTGTTCCCAAGAAAAGTGTAGTAAAGGAAAAGAAACCTTGTTTTTCCATGTGTTCATTTGTCAGAAAAAGGAAGGTATATTGTTGAGGTTCCTACAAAATCTTCTATGTTTTGCATGACATGTTTTGAGGGAAAACTTATAGTGGGACAGTTAAGATATGGGTTTCACAACTTTCTTGCTAACTGAACATGAAAAAAGTTATTAGAAGGTTAATTTTCCTATACCTTACTTCCTCTTTCTGACAACTAAATGGGGCCTAAGGTGCATACACAGGATATATGGTATTGTGTCCGTATACCTTTTTTTTTTTACAAGTACATTTTGTCTGTATGTCATTCCGCCAAAATAATGACCATAGTGATAATCAAAATTTATTTCAAACACATATATGCATACATATACATGAATCTATACACAAATAGAGAGAGAGAGAGAGAGAGAGCGTACAGCCAAAGCATCGTAATGGATGCCATCATAAATTAGCATAACCCTTTCATGATAGTTCTTTCCCTGCTAAACAGTAACCCCCAAGGAAAGGATATTCAAAATTCAAGCCATGCTAGCTTACAAGCTTAAGATGAACATGACAGCACATCACCAACGCTAACCTGCCCATACAAATCACATCTTGTGGTTTGGATATCGTATGCTGCAATTTCACGTCCATAATAATCTGCCAATATTGCAAGCTCAATGGCACCTTCACAAGTCAAATATATGAAAAGAATTAGCTGAATGATTCAGAGAACTAACATTAACAATATCTTCTTGATTCTGGTAAAACAAATATCTACGTAGACTTCCAGGCTGATCAAACATGTACGACCTGCATGATGAGAAGCCAACAATTAATCAAACCTTAGAAATTCAACACTTGGATATTTGCCTTGTATATATGCACTTTGGCTTATTTTAATTGCAATCAAAGGACAACACAAGCTCCAAATAAGGTGCATATAGAGCTTGAAAATAGTAAATTTTCAAAAAAGTTAGACACATTAAGCATCTTAACTCATGTCCCAATAGTATATACGAAAATGTAGCATGACAGAAAAACATGAAGAAATTATTGAACCTCACAAACATAATTCTGACCCACATAGTTAGAATTTCTAAAATTTCTTCTTTTCTGTCTTCACAACATAAAGAAAACATAGTTTTATGGGGAACTCTTTAAATTTTTCATGAATATCAACAACGCAACATCTAATCACTACATAATGTCTGGTCAATGCATGCAACATCAAATATTACCATCCAATGAACTTTTAATTAGATTATGACTTATGACCACCTCATCCCAAATGTTCTTAGAGTCAACCTTAGTGCCCTTTTTTGTGAACCCCATTACAGATATAGTTGTCAAAAGAAATTTAAATTACAAAGTGTATTTATGTTTGTTGAAAATGTTGAAAAAATGGTTTTATATAGGCATATTTTTTAACCTAATTTGGGTGGACCCCAAACGTGTTTTGGGGTGAGTCCGAAAAGGTGAAGTGGTGAAGACGGAACGTCAAAACCATTTATGAGTGAATGGGAAGATGACGTCGTTTTCGGGTTTAACATTAATTTTTTAGATAAAATTCTTTTGAATTTTTTTCAATAAAAATTATTGTGGAAATTTTATTTTATTTTTGATTTCCTAAAGTGGTTTCTTAAAATAGATTAAACTACTCAAATAGTTTAATTTCCAAACTGTTTGTTAGCTTTAGACCATTCAAAGTGATTTAAATATTAAAATCAAACAGTTTTGAACTTTGCCTTAACCAACGGATCTTTTTCCAATTGTTGTGTGAAAAAGCTATTTCATAGGAGCAACGGACAGATACAGTTTTATAACTGCATTTCTGTTTGAAATTTCAGAAAAAGTTTCTATTGACTTTTTGTTGCACCTGTTCTGCCTTACCACACCTGTTCGGGGCTTTGATACTTTGCCTATAAATATTCCATAAATCCAGCAGTCTTTGGGGAATAAAAGTTCAATCCGAAAATCAGTCTAAATTTTTCTCTTTGCTGTCCATTTCTTTTAGTGCATTATTCCTCATATTTAGTTTTAGGAAAAAATATTCAGAGAGTATAGATCACAGGTTTGGTTCGCCGAACAAATTTATTTGAAGTGCTTCTATAAATTTGTGAAGATCATTGTATCCTGGGAGATAGACGCCACTCAACCGTAAGTACCATAGCGGGGCGAATCTGTCTTAAGGACAGAGTGTCACACACTCGACTTGGTCTTATAATTTTATTTGGTTCGACAAAATAAATCCGGTATGTTATTTATTTATTTTGTTTGAATTTATTTCTAGTTATTTTATTTACACAGAAGATTGTTCCAACAGAAAAGCCCAAACACAGGACACAGCAATTTCAAAAAAATAGGGACACAGACACTGCGGAGACACAACAATAAAATATGTTTTCATATTTTTTTATTTGCTATCTAAATTAATACTACATCCACAAACAATCAATATTAACAAAAACTCTAATTCTATATTTTTTTAAAAAAAATTAAATTAACACTTATAGTTTATTAAGTATTTAAATCTAAGAAACAGATAATAAACATTCAACATCCAACATTCATCAAAAGCACTAAAGAAAATGAGAGAAAAGACAAGTTGGCATGTCCCTCCTTGTGTCCCCAAAGTGTCCCCTGAAAATAAATTAATTAAGGGAACACGTCATGTGGCGTGTCCCATACGTGTCCCTGCCGTGTCCATGTGTCTGACATGGCTACGGCACTTGTTTTGAAGTGTCGGTGCTTTATAGGTTCAAACTAGCATGATTGCTGAAGTGCAGAACCAACATTGGCACCACTTCAATCCCATTCAAAGCTGCTTAGAAGATGATAAAGTCTTCAGACTCTGAAAGGAATATAATTCAAAACACATGACATATTTAAGAGAACAAATGCTTAACAAGAGGACAAACTATTAATTCACCAAGATTAACTTTATCCATCAGGACACACCATAGAAACTAGTGGATTCTACATTACATAAATTTCAATTTTCAAGTGTAGACACATAAGTGGTATTTTTTGGCCGAGTCATCTTATTGTAGACCTAGACAAAGAGCAAGGCCAGACAAGCAGCACACATAACAGGAAGACAGATATCACTTTGTGAAGTGACGAGATAGATCCACAGTGAACCGTGATCCTGTGATTACCACAACGGGGATATTTAGGATGGAGCAGCTCTGAGAAGGCAAGCAGTTACAAGCAATTTCATTACATGGACCCATATAAATATCTCGTGTACTACAAGCAGGTCACAATCAGAAAATAAAAGAAGTTCAAAACACACCTCCCCACTTCTCTGGGTTAAGAATCCAAGCACGGTACTCTTCATTTGGCTTCCCAAGGAATGCTTCAGAATATTGTGTCGGATCACTGGCCACCGTTGCAGCTATAACCTTCAAAATGAAAGGACAAAAACGGTAAGATACAAAATGGATATATGATTACCAAAGCAACAAGGGAAGTGTAAAATTCGAAAGATACCAATACCAAATCTGACTTGTTATTTTATAACATTACCTCCATTTCCATATCATGGGTCATAAATGCAGTAAATTCATGCAACATGAAACAAAATAGTAATGGTTTTAGAAAGCCAAGTACACGTGACAGATCAGATGTGATGAGAGTTTCAAATGCCATGGATCACCTACTTCCCTATTTAGGTTTCAGAAAACGACATGATGTTATTATGGCTGAAATACAAACTTTTAAAGATCAACTCTATATGTGTATTGGCGGGATTGATAACCTGTCTCAACTGAGGAGCTTTATGTTTGTCGTGGTCCATAACATAACTGCAAATAAAAAGAAACAACAAAAATGAAAACATTAAAAAAAATGGACAAAATATGTGCTTCCAAATTAAAAAGATTGAAAAGAATTCTTATTTAGAACTTGAAAAGCTTTACCCAACAGCATTGAAGAGGCAGCTGTTATCTGAGGGAATGACCCTCCTAACAATAGTACCCTCCATCCCTGAAAAAAAAAAAAAAAAAAAAAAAAAAAAAAATTGTATCAAGTACATGGTTTGAAATAACGGTATCGGATATGTATTGGTATCAGCAGCACGGTCATATCATATATCGGCCGAAATATTGGTAAAAGTCGGTATTGAAAGTAAAATCTCAATATGTATTTGCTGATATTTAAAACCCTAATCAAATCTAATATAGAAGTAAATGGAGAGTTGATAGATCCCTATCAATAGATGACAAAACTAACTAAAAATGTCACATGGGTATACAAAGTCTAAAATCTCAACCCTAATTAGGTACTTCAACAATCTAATATAGAAGTAAATGGAAAGTTGATCCCTATCAATAGATGATAAAACTAACTAAAAATATGATTAGAGTAAGATTATGCTAAGAAAAGACGAACAATTAATAGAAAAATTCAATAGACAATTGACAATAGCAACATGAAAAATACTCAGCACTCTTGAGGAAAAAAAAAGAAAAAGGCACACACACAGACAATAAACTCAACAAAACCAAACAGGTCTGCAATTTCGAATTCATATAAAGAATGACAGAGAATAAACAGAATATATCTAAAACCCTGTCTAAAACATCACAGAATTATACCCCCAAAAAAAAAAAATTATAATCTTTACGGGTGAACAAAGAAAAACGAAACCAAACCCAATTCAAATAAGAAAAATCAAACCAAACCCAATTCAAAAAAGAAGTGATTATGGAGACAGAAAAACTGACTAGAACAATACCCAGAAATGTTAAACAGATACAGGAAAAGAAATGTTGAATTGGGTGAGTTGTAGATTTGTGGAGTATGCACCAAAAATTTTGATTGCTTGAGAGTAAAGAAAATTACAAAGATGAGGGAAGAGAACGAGGACACGCGGGTGTATCTGAGAGAGATAATAATCACAATTGCTTACTTTCTTTTGTTTAATTTTTTCTGAGAAAATGGGGTGTTCAAAATGGCGCATATATATTTACACTAGCGGTTGCAGCGTGGGCTATTCAAATAAATAAAAATAAAATAAAAAATTTACTATATGTTATGTGTTAATCAAGTGGTACGAGTCTTATTCATTTGATATAAGTCTAAAGTTTAAGTCTCCGCCACTCATCTATCTATTGTTTTTTTAAATTTTAAATCAAAAAGTGAACACATGACAGCATAAGAAACAAGTTTCAGGATATCGTAAGAGGTGTTCACTTTAAGAAACAAGTTTCAAGATATCGTAAGAGGTGTTCATTTTATAATAGTATAGATTGACAGCATAAGAAACAAGTTTCAGGATATCGTAAGAGGTGTTCACTTTAAGAAACAAGTTTCAAGATATCGTAAGAGGTGTTCATTTTATAATAGTATAGATAGATAGATAGGGATGAGAGAGAGAAGAGATTTTGGTTGATAACGGGTGGGATTTTTTTTTGAATTTTGTAATAAAAAAAATTAATTAAATTCTATTCTTTTAAAAATATAATTTTATATTTTACTTAATTTTGATCATTTTGATCTACTTAATTTTATACTCGACCCTATATTATCAATGCTTTCTTGAACTTTATTTTATTAGAATTTGGTTGGATTAAATATAATTGAGATGGGTAATTTTGTTATTTTACGAGAAAATGATCTCTATTATCACACTAATAATGTAGGATAAGATTTTTTTTTTTACAAATAAAGTATAAATTTTCTTAATGTGTATTATTTATAGATTATATGTTTTACTTAAAAATGTATATAATAAAAAATATACAAATTTAACAAGATTTATAATAAACTATTTAGTTGTGTAATAACTTTTTAAGAGATTTAAATTCTTTACAATAGACTCATAAAACTAATATTTTAGGGGTTGCTAGTGATTTATTTATATGTTATTATTCAGCTATAATTTTATTTTCTTCTTTTAAATATGATTAATTTATATAGTGAAACGGCTTCTATAATGATGTTTTATTAACAACATGGGTGACTGATAGGGATGATAAAGCACCCATGTGACTAGAGCGGGACCATTCTTACATTGCTCTTAAAACATAAACATAAAAATTTAATTCATATTATATTTATTACATTATTTGTACTCAAAATTTTCTTTTTATCTTAGATATTTATATATATATATATATATACATTGACAGAATCAGAAAATTAAATCAAAGATGGCACTTATTAATTATAATATTGAAATTTTTTTTAAAAATATTTCACATAAATTTTTACGATTGACTTTGAGAAAGATAAAAAAAAATGATGTTATTTGTAACTAATGTATCATGGACAATACAAAAAAAGCTATGAATATAAGTCTTAAAATAAATTATAAAATGATAAAGTAATTTTTTTATACAAAATTTGAGTAAAAAATCAATATAATGATAATACCACGTCATTATTGATATGTGATAGCATCAACCAATAATAAAAAAACATATGGAGGGTGAACCTCATATGTCAAATGTAACTAACAATCCAATAAATATCTTCATAATAAGATTAGTAGGTGTTTAGCATGCACTAAAAAAGTACATTTTTTTGGGATACATACACTTATTTAGGTCACATCTATCAATATCTCCTCTTTACTTTCTACCCACTTTTTTAACTTTTCTACACATTTTTTGTTATAAAAATTTAAAAAATATACTTGTTTAAGGAAAATGTTTGAGAGCCACAATTTTTGTGGCCACAATAGCTTAAAATTGTCAAAACGACGTCATTTTGGGTGCAAAACATGCCAAAACGACGTCGTTTTGACAGTTTTGAATCATTGTAGCCACAAAAATTGTGGTCCTCTAACATTGTTGCTTATTTAAAACATCACAAACTATGTCAATAATAATAGACGTTACCATTACATTAAAAAAAATTATAAATTTTTTATAAATAATAATATAACTTATCGTAATATTTTAATTTTTAATTAAAATAATCATTATTATTCTCATAATTTTAAAAATATTATTGACATTTTACTCTAAATAATATTTTTATAATTTTTTATATATAAAATTTCAACTTTGCTACAGACCCCCACTGGGGGTCGACCCCCAGTGAGGTGGCAGCCCCCTCTTTCGTCCAAATCACAAAAAAAAAAAAAAAAAAAAAAAAAAAAAAAAAAATAATAATAATAATAATAATAATAATAATAATAATAATAATAATAATAATAATAATAATAATAATAATAATAATAATAATAATAATAATAATAATAATAATAATAATAATAATAATAATAATAATAATAATAATAATAATAAATAATACAAAGTTAGGCAAGCCCATGTTTTGGCTGCTAGCGTCTCTTTAGTACCAAACTAGTGTGGTCCCTCTCTTCGGGTGGACGTTTGGTTTTGTTTTTATTTTTATTTTTAAAAATAAAAATCAAATTGAAGGTAACATAAAAATATTTATTTGACAAATTATTTCATGTACTTAAACATGAAGTAGCAAAAGAATTTGCTTAAATTTTAGAGGTGTATCACTGTACCAATGCAACAACAAAACAATTCTATGCATTCATGGAGAACTTTGATTGAGTTTTCAATTTAAAAAAAAAAATTAATAATAATAATAATAATAATAATTTGGTGGAAAAATGATAAAATTTTAAAAATCACTATTATCCTATGATTTATCTTTTTGATGTGAAAATAATCTTTATGATTTTCAATTTTGTTAAATTAATTTCTAATTTTTAAAAAAATTAAAAACAAGTTTGGAAGATTCAACAAATAAGAAAAGCAAAATTAGAGTTTCAAAACTTGTAGCAGCCGGCGGTAGGAAAGGGGTTTCCAGCGGCCCCCGACCTCCTCTCCCCTTCTCTTACCCCTCTTTTCTCTCTCCTTTACTTGCTTTGCTATCCAATAATTTGGAAGTTCTGGCTTTCCACCCCGTCCCTCCTTTGTGAGGTGTTTCCCTCTCCTCTCCATCAACTCAGGGAGTGGCTTCACGGATCTGCCATCACCACCACCAGTTTCTCAGCCCTCTTTCGCGCTGCCTTTACCTTTGCCAGACTCGCCGACGCCACTACTGTCGGTAGTTTGCTTGGATGTAGTTTTGGATCTTGTCTTGTTTGTTTTCTTTTTATTTTTTCTTCTGTTTGGTTGTTGTTTTTGTCTGGTTTTAAGTCCTTTGTTTTGGGTTTGTTTGGCTATTTTCTTTGAGTCCATCAGTGCAAATTTGTTTCAATTTACCCTCTATGTGGATGGGATCTATAATATATCTTGAACATGTTCTATTGCCAAAATTTTATGATCAGCTCTGCTTTGCAGTACGAGCACAGGCACAAAATGTGAGTTTGAATATTTTTATAATTTTTTCTTCTTCTGTTCTTCTCACTTTATTTTCATTTTGTTAGATGTAAATTTTAAGTAAGATGGACTCATGTAAATGTCGTTCCGCTTCTTGAATAAAATATTTCTTATCAAAAAGAAAAAATAAGTTTGGAAGATTCAACCATACAAAGACACATTTGGATTTTTGTGTTTACCTTCGTAATTCAAATAATTGGCTAGCTAGAATTTATCAACTTTTTCATTTTTTATTTTTCTATCCATAAATTTCTTCATCAAATCCAAGATGGTTTTATTTTATTACACAAAAACCACCTTCCATGACCATGAAAGCCAGCAATAAATTCTGCAAAAGTCTCAAACCAAATGCTCCTTACATAAGTTCGGAATACAACAAAAGAAAAAACCACAATTAGAAACCCTATTCTAGGTAGCTCCTTAAAATCACCAGGATTTTTAAATTTTATTTTTAAATGCAAAGGAATTGAACCAGATTTCCAAAACTGAATTCCCAGAGATGCTGCCTTGCGCCTTATCAACTTGAACTCTAGCTTCAGACTTCTGGAGATCAATTCCGGTTTCAGAGTGCTGCAATGCACTCAATTTCAATTCTTGCATTCAGTGGTAATGCTGCTACTTGATATGTCGAACGAGCTGGAGCAGGCGCGGGAAAGTCTGCAACACAAATCATATCTAAAATATAAATAAATATTAGAGATTAATTTTCCTGAGTAAGAAACATCACCTGGTAGAAGTTTCCTCCTACCGAGATCAAACACCAAGAGTGTCAAAAAAAGAAATTAATGTTTCTAGCGGTGCAACACGTGCATTCAGAGCTTGCATTTTGTTTTTCATGTAAAGAGCTATAAACAACAAAAGAGTATTAGATTCAAATAATAAGAATGAAAGGCTGATAAAATTGTTCGAGCATTCTAATTCAAGGACGATAAAATTGTGGTTCCACCTCTGTGACAACCACACCTAAAGGAATCTAGTTATCATGAAGGATAATGTACAAATAGGGAACTCATTTTCAAGAACACGATGCATCATCAAAGAGAATAAAGTGTCCCCATCTGCACAAGTAGAAAGCGCTGGAATCCAAACGTTCCAGAATTTGCACCAACCATCCATAGCACCGAATCTTTTAGTGGGGTGGTGGGTCTGGGGTATGGTGCTATGGTATGAAGCAGTGCGAACTTTGGTGTTACAAAATTGACAATGACAACTGGTCTGCAAACAACGGTTCACAGGGGAGGTGACTAGTAGGCACAAGTCTAAAATATTGAATTTTCATGTTTTATATTTTAAGAATTGACAACATTTACAATATCTTTTAGTTATTTTGGTCAAACACAAAACAAGTTATGTTACATGAACTCAGGTATGAGTATCAGGTGTGGATGTGTATTCAAGCATTATAAACCTAAATCTTAGGATATTGAGATATGTATCAAAAGGTTGGATTTTAACAGATACTTTAATACACATTTTTCATGTGTAAAACTCACATTTAGCATAGATTTCGTTCACCTTCTTGAAATCGTTCAAGTCAGCCAACCTGTAATGGGAACGTATTGGGGGAG